CGATATGTTTTCTGGCATGCTCCGATTCACGCATATGATCCGCTCTGTGCTATCGTGTCTCTGGACCGGAGAAGACTGTGTGCACACTGTGGCGGTTCGCGTGAAACCAGAAAGCATGGAAAGCATATTTATTTACAGTGTCTGAATCGTTCCCTACCCCCTGTGCATTATACTGTAAAACCTGATGAGTTAGTTCAACTCAAACCGTTTGAGGAAACCGATTGCCTAAAATCATTTAAGTTTATTAACTCAAACAATTTAAGCTTAAAAAAATATTTGATTTGTGTTCAAGTAACTCAATAACTTATTGTTAAGATAACTTGGGTAAATAAAGTTAATAGTACTAATTCCATTCAGTTAATATAACTTAAATCTATGAAGTACACTGTAAACCCAAATAAGTTGGCAGAACTCAGAATACTTTTATTAGTATAAACTTAGTTAGCTTTAAAAAGCTAATCTGCTAACATAGTAAATGCTAACATATTAGCAATAGTATGTTATACAGAAACACTTGCTGTATGAGCACAACAATATAAATGGATTATTTGCTCTCAAATCAAGCTGCATGCACCACTTGTCACCATGATGGTAACTATCCTAAAGCCAACATTAACAGAAATTCTTCTAAATTAGCATAACAAAACATGAATCACTACTAAATCTCACACATAACATTAATCTTACACAAAAAAAACCCATTATATTACACTTAATTTTAGCATTTACTCTCCCTTTCGAGTGCCATCGGCAAAGCATGCTGGGAAATAGACATCTCAGCTGTTTCAGTTAAACTTAAGTTTGTCTAAATTAAAATAAATAATTTCATAAAACTCAAAACAATGAAACAGTTCAGTTTACTTAAAATATATCAGTTCTGTGAACTTGAAAGAAAAAGAAAGTGCTAAATACTCATAAAAGTTAATTTGACTGAACTAATTTGTTTAATTTAAGTTTGTCCTACTCAAACCAATTAATTATTTTGAGCATTAGGGTTTACAGTAGAAAACAGTAAATGTTTGAACAAGTGACCGATTTTAGCCGGAGCTAAAGCGTCAGCGTCTATTTATAATGTAGGGGGCGGGATGCTTTAAAATTCTGGAGAGCATTTGATTGGACAGGAAATCTGATGAGAAGCAGAAGTGCAGAGTGATGTCATCAAAATCATTAATCCATATTAGCAGAAGTGAGAGATACATTTTAAATGTTTAAATCTTCTAAATGCGAATTTTGTCATTGTTTTGGAGCACAGTAGGTTATAGATAACACCAGGCTAAAATATTCATAGCAAAAATAGTTAAAAAAAAGACTTTAAGTCTGACGTCACTGATAGACGTCAACGCTCTATCAGATGCCAAAAGCAAACAACAAATGGTAGTAATATAGCCTACACTCATGGTGTGCTGTAAAATCATGTAAAATCATGATCCTAACATTTGTCACCATACCAAAATCACAGATGGCCAGACAGTGATTCATCTAATCTATAAAATATTGGTGTCCGGGATGCCATGAGCAGTGTATGAGATCACCTTTAAGAAATATGAATAAATAGGCTCATAAATGGCTGTTGAGATAGTATTCTCACTTCTCTTGGACCTGGATATGGTATTCCTTAGAGCACAACTTAACAAGTGGATGGGGAAGAACAGATTATTGCAACTTCCATTTTTTATTAACAAACACTTAAGCTAATAATACTCACAAATAGGCATGCTATTTGCTTGATACTTGTACAATTAATGCTTACTTTGTTGAAAATCCAGAATGAACTGACATATAAACTGCCAACGTGTCCCAGTGTCAACACAATGGGTGAATCCAGGGTGATTTGGACACTTTTTTGCCATGAGATAACATGGAAAAAGTGTCCCAATCAACCTGAATACAAATAATTGAAAAGAGTCTCAAAATGTGGATCACAAAGAAGTAGAAAAAAGTCACACAAAGTTATCATGTGAGTGTACATCATTTCAACATTTTTCAAATGTAGCTAGGCTACTATTCATTTCTTAGGGGTACAAATTTGTGTGCATCTTTAAGCCTATAGTGTGTCTCAAATCACTCACGATACACCCACGAATTATTATTGCTTCCACTAGGGGACGCTATTGTAATGAAGGGATTTACAGTTGAGAAGACTTACAGTTAAAATAGTGCATTTACTAGCGCTTCTGTACAAGATCAGATTATTTGCTCGTCATTTCAAATACTTCATATCAGTGCATTTTGTTTTTTCATCAGGGGTTTACAGCCGACACTGCATGAGAGCCGTTTTGATTCCACACTACAAGAATGATGTCTGGTAAGAGACGCTTATTCTATCTTGAGAAGTTATCGATGACAGTTTCCATAATACGCAAATTTTAAGTGATTTTCTTTTGGCATAATTCCGTTGTTAAAAGTATTTTTTGAAGAAAAAATTATTTATATAATAGCCTATTTGTATATTTATATTATGCACTTTTAGCTTATATTGTGAACATTTTCGAAGACAAATGGCTCATGAGCTATGTTTTACAATACTGACATTCTTGTTTCGTTCAAGTTTAATAGCCTATCCTATATAAAGCGGTTCAGAAGACCGCGGTGCTAATGATTACATGTTACTAATTAGATACTATGTAGTGAACCTTTTATTTATTGCGATATAAACAAGCAAAGCATACATATTTTTGAAAATAGATTTGGTTCACGTAATCAAGTTCACATAGGCTAATCTTCAAGCCGCCAAACTGTTTTGCAAAATTAGCGTTGCTTTTAAGATTGTGTTGAGTTATTCACTTTCACGCGGTCAGTCGAGAACTATGATTATTTTCAGAGGATTAATGAAACATCTGCTTTCCTGTTCAGGCACAAATATAAGAGAGACGGTGATTCTTACACCAACACAAGGCTGTCTACCTTTTGCCAAGTAGGATATGTTCCTGGATCAACATATTTTGTTGATCCTGGAACAACATTCCTGTCTGAAAATTTTCTCCTAACCATATCCCTACTCTAACCTAACTCTACCATTAGTTATCCCTAAAATCAGAGGGAAATGATAGGTGAAAAACACTTAACCCTGGTTGTAAGCCTAAACTTTAACTGTAAACTTGTCCCTCAAAACTGATTGGTTGATTGGAATGTTGTTCCATAGATGTTGATTCAGGAACATGTTGTAGCTACTTGGTGAAATCATGTTCACCCTTCCTAAAACTAAGTGAGCTCTCTACCTAGACAGCGTTTTTAGGCATAGCGTTTTTGAAACCAGTCAGTGGCGCACTGGCGCCCGAAAACACTGCCTAGTTATAACTCACTAGGTTGTGAGACACAGCTGTGCTGTTTGCCTTAGAGCACATTCTACTGATTTATGATTCTGGTGGTGATACAGTCAATTAGGAGAGCTAAACAAATGTGAATGACAGCCCATTTCATAGCAGCACGCCTGACTCTCACCATTAATGAACATCTCTGAATCAAGCATAGAAAGAAAAGGAAGAGCTCTCCTTTATGTTGGACAGTTGGATATTATAGTGCTTTTACTGAAAACCAGATGTAGCCACTCTTTTTTTTTATTTACATATAATTATTATTAACATTTAATTTGATATTATTACGATTTTTTTTCTTCAATTTCAAACATGTCCCTCATATGAAAATCATGTAATTTTCTTAATTCATGCAAAGACAGCGGGAAACCGCAGAGCTCTTGTCCATATTTGCATTGCCAGAGCAGAAATAATGGAATATGAAATAGAGTAAGATATGAAGTCCGAGCAGGGTTTTGCAGGGTTGGGAAGTCGGGATTGAGTTAAATTACTTTTCACATCGTGTCCACCTCAATTTATTAGGGAACCTCGAGAGGCAGTGCAGTCTTATTTACAAGGCAAAGAGACAGCTGAAAAGAGCAACAGATGTCTGGATTTTTAAAGCTTATGCGTACCATGTTTTGGCACCATTTAGTGGCTTTAATGGATTTCACAGCACTATTTTCAAACTAGAATTAATGTTCAAATAATGTTATCAAAGAATATTTTTGGTAAACATTGTGTTCTTGCATTATGATGAGCATACAACTGAGATTTACATTATTTGCAGTCTTTTGTGCAATATACAGTGAAAAACAGCTATTGATGTCATTTGTAAGATCATTCAATCCGCAGAATAATAACAATATAGAGGTTGCATTTGATTTAAAGATCCTTGGTTATTAAACATGCCATTTGCCACAGCAGCTGTGTGTTGTGTGTGTGTGTGTGTGTGTGTGTGTGTGTGTGTGTGTGTGTGTGTGTGTGTGTGTGTGTGTGTGTGTGTGGCTTTAAGTCTTTCTGTGATTTCCCCTACTTATCGCCGTGCACCACTTAAAATGTCTCATTTGAATAATTAAAAGCTTCTCATCCTGTCTCAATAATGTTCAGAGGAAGTCTCCTAAAATCTTTACTAGAGCAAGTGTTATGGGAATATTTGTAAAGAGAACAAATAGGATGTCTATGTTAGTCTGCATCATGTTATTTTAATATGCGATGCTCCCAACTCGGTGTACTTCTGCATTCAGTCTTATCTTTTTGTGCCAGATGAAATGGACTGTTATTTAGCAATTAACAGACGGCTATAAAATCCTTTTAACAGTGATTGAGACATGCTTTTCCCCTGCTGACTTTTATTCCAGGGTGATCAATTGGATGGAGGATTGCATTAACGTGGGGAAAAAAATTGATTCTGGATTTCAGTGTGACGCTTTTAATGGAAGGACACTGTTACAGATTAACACTGAAGAAATAATGTGTTGCGGTCAGCAGAGGAACATCATTATGTGGTTGAAGCCAAGAAAATTAAACAAGATACTTAATAAGAGAAAAGACCATCAATAAAAGCTGGAACTGAATAGATAGTTTTTATATACAAAGTCTGTCTATCTTCTTTAATGTTTTGAATATCAAACAGATTCTATTCTGCTTTCTTTCTCCTCCACCAATTTGATTTCTTCCTGTTCCTCCACATCTTATATGTAAATATCCACACCAAGAGGACTAATCATGCCAGAAAATGTGAGCTCCAGAATGGACACTCCCACCAACATCTCCCTGGTGGGGTCTGGGGACGCTGTGTCCGAGTCCCTGGAGTATAAGACTGTATCTGTGTTCCTGGTGCTGCTGGTGTGTGGCGTGGGCATAGTGGGAAACATCATGATCGTGCTGGTGGTTCTTACCACACGCCACATGCGTACACCCACCAACTGCTATCTGGTGAGCCTGGCAGTGGCGGACCTGATGGTTCTGGTGGCCGCGGGTCTGCCGAACATCTCTGAGAGCCTGATGGCCACCTGGGTGTATGGGCATGCTGGGTGCCTGGGCATCACCTACTTTCAGTACCTTGGCATTAATGCGTCCTCCTGTTCAATCACAGCTTTCACTGTGGAGAGGTAAGACCTGAAATTAAAGGAAGTAACATCAAACTGAATGAAATACTTTTGAAAATAAGTGAAATAAAAGGAAGATAATATGAAATGCTCTAAGACATAATGAATATTCATAATCTTTGTGGCTTATTACTGAGGCGCCATGGGTATACAAACAAATTGACAAGTTCATTTCTTTCCTCTTTTTGCCATGAAGGATTTCAGCATTTTAAATATCAATATTTAAAATTGATAAATTTTTAATATTTTAAAAAAATATATTTCTTCAAAAAAAATAAAAAAAAATAATCATCAAAATTGTACAAAACTTGGTGACTTTTGTAGCACTTGTTATATGAACACACACAAAAATTATGGACATGATTAAAAAAAGCTAAATAAATCTTATATAAAAATCACACTTGTGATCTTTGACCGCCATAAGAAAATTAATGGGAAATTACAGAGGAAAAATACAGAGCCATTTTTTTTTGGTGGGGGGGTTCAATCTACAATCAGCCATGACGAAGTAGTCTTTGATTATGTCTAAATATATATCCAAATGTAAAACAACATAAAAAAAATTATGTCTTATAAGCAGGGCCGCATTAAGAGCTCACTGGGCCCCGGGGCTATGAGTTACTGCAGGGCCCCCCCACCACCACTTTAGGTCACCAACTACATGAGCTAAATGTTCCATCATTATACAAGTCATTTTATTCATCTATGATATACTTCACAGTTAAGTTATATTACTTTTAATAAGATTTTTTATCATATCAAAATTTTATGCCACTAAAATTTCATAATTCTTGTGACCAATTTCAATATCACAAAAAATAATAGTAGCTTAAGAAAAGAATCTAAAGCTTACTGATGACAAGAGTCACAAATAACAATAGAACAAAGGCACATAAGAAATCGACCTACTTGAAAAACTTAAAGCACTGAATAATATTATATTGTATAAAGTAATCAAATAAACAATACATAGTCTTCACTATAAATTCAACATTCATTCTTATTAATTTTACAAAAGTGATTCAGTCAAGGGCAGTAAATTACTTTCTTTCTGATGTTTGATTAACATTATTGACACAAATGGCGACAGCAGCTTTATTAGCAGCTACTGTCACTTTAAGACCTCAGGGTCGGAACTCAAGTGCGCTGTGCAAAACCGTCTCAAGTTCACCATGGTCTCAAAACCAAAATGAATTCTCTCCCGCTGCTTACTGTGCCTGAGCAGTTTAAAATAATTTGTACCCAAACCACAATGCTTAAAAATGCGTTTAAATTATAAACTTACATCATGATGGCGCAGGAAAATGTACATATTTTAGGCCATTTAGGCGAAAATAGAGTTTGATCAAACACAAAAAGCAATATCATACATCCATCAAGTTAATAATCAAACTTACCGAAAATTTGTGGGGTCGATGATGACGCATGTGTTTTAAGAATAGACTAGAATGAAGTGAAGAGTGGATGCGATTGATTGGTTGATGCGTATATTCTAATAAGGCGCAGGCAGCCATCTGATAGGCCTACGTGCAGCAGCAGGTAGATCGTTCACAAGTTAAATAAGAATAAATGTATATCAAATTAAAACGTGACGTTTCAATTCACCATGCCCTGCTGCCCACGGGGGTTTGATTGACAGGCGAACTGGCCAATCATAACGCCGAATACGCAATTTTGTCCGACAACAAAGCTGTCAGTAGATTAACGTCGTTGGACTTGAACTTGAAAACGGTAGGCTGTTGTTTATTAGTTAAATGACAATATTTGAAAGTTGAGACTTTGTTTCATATCAACAGTAAGCTGCTCTGAACTCTCTCTCGTAGTCACTCGGTGTAACGTTAGTCTTTGCCCCGCAATGTATTTTTCACTGCTTGAGTGAGAACATGATGTGCGTGACTCATGAGAGCCGCCTGGCTTGTCACACAGTAACTAAAAAAGGCGGGTCTTTGCGAACGGTCATAATATTAATGATAATGATTCCATGATAATGCATGGTATATACGGCAAAGTGCCACTAAATAACAGGGCTAATTTGTGGGGGGCGTTGTGTGGTAAGGCTTTGGCAATCAGATGGCTAGTATCTACTCCACAGCCAATCACGGGCCCCCTCCTTGCTCGGGCCCCGGGGCTTTAGCCCCGCCTAGCCCTATTGTTAATGCGGCCGTGCTTATAAGCAATACAAGGGAATACACACAGCCCTTTATATATAGAAGCATCTAGTGGCTAGACTATGGTATTACAAATGATTTTCTTTATTTCTTCCATTAGATAGCACAAATCCACCTTCTATGTATTGGATTTTAAACACCTTTGCTCTATTTTAAACTTTAACACTGTTAATTGAAAATAGTATGATTTTTTTTCTAATATTTGTATTGTTTTATATAGAAATAAATAATGCACTATATAGAGATTAATATTGTCCTCAAAATATTCAAGAATAAGTACTACTGAAACAAAATATAGTATGTTACTTATAGTACATTATTCGTTGGATTACTTAATGTCTTCGGTCTGTTTTGACCAGCGAGGATCACAAGTGTGACCCCTAAAAGAGGAATAGGCCTACCAGAGGTTTAAATATTTTTAATTAAATAATACACATTATCTCTTTGTTTCACAGATACATCGCCATATGTCACCCAATGAGGGCTCATACGGTCTGTACGGTATCCCGAGCCAAACGCATCATTGCCGGGGTGTGGGTTTTCACCTGTGTCTACTGTATGCTCTGGCTCTTCCTGGTGGACATCCAGGTGAACCCTGACGGTCGTGTTCAGTGTGGCTACCGCGTCTCTCGAGACCTCTATCTGCCCATTTACCTTATCGACTTCGCCATCTTCTACGTTATCCCACTGCTTCTGGCCATTGCTCTTTACGGTCTCATCGCCCGAATCCTTTACCTGAATCCTCTGCCCCACCCAGCAGACTCGGGCACCATTACCGCCCCCACTCTCAGGAGGAGCTGCAAAGAACCGGTGGATGCTGGAAAACCAGGTCGTCAGGGACGGCCAAAGAGTGCGCTTTCTTCCCGGAAACAGGTAGGTGTGTGTGTGTGTGTGTGTCTGCATAAGTTTGTTTTTAGACAATTCTGCATTTTAATATCTACTGAGATTGCAAAACCAGGGGTGGTTCTCTTCTCCTGTACTGTGCCTTATGATTATTATCTCATATTTGTTTTTTGAAAGGTCAGTTCTTTTTTTCTGAGAAGAATGTTTCACTCTACTAAATGTCAATTTGTGGGAAGAAGAGTGTGTTGAATGTTGATAGTTTCCTGGTGCAGTTTGAAAGAGTGCCTAATTTTGCATAATAATAAAAGAGAGACAATCATTTAAAACCTAGTTGCCATTGGTGGCCATCTTAAACTTAAAATATCATCACACAGAGCGCATGGAAGTGTTTCCTGCACACCACAAACAACACAGTGCAAGCCTTTATTTTTGATGATTCAGTCAAAATAATTCACTCCTTCGAATTCGCTCACGAATCAGAGGTTTGAACCAGATCTTTAGGAGTCGTTATTACTTTTTCCTGATAGCGTTAAAATGGAATTTATACTAAATGTTTTCTAAATGTAGTATTTTTGTGTGTCTGAAACCTGTATACAGCACAATAATATACATACTTTTGTGCAAACAAACTCATATAGATGCAGACCAAACATCTGAGCTCATTTTTTTTGTTATGTGAAAGGGTACATAATGGCCAATATCATCATAAAGCAGGTCATTAGGATCTATCTCATCAGAAAAGAGGCATTAGGGGCCATCAGGGTACAGTTTTGGGTCTACATTACCATCACTGCATCAGCCACCACAGCTATGTTGTGACACTGGAATAATGGGCTCTGTGATAGATCATAGACATTACAGATATGATCTATGCATGCAAGTAATGAAAATGTTTTTTTAATGGTTTTAGTTGTCTATAATAACCCAGCAAGACATACAGAGAATTTAATGATAGTTTAGACTTCATTTGGAGTGTCAAATTCAGGCCATTCTATGGCCTTAAGTGCACCTGTCAGTGCACCGTAAGTGCATTTACAGTGTGGCATGCTATACTTATACAGTATATCTCCATGTTATTTGTCAACTACCCTCAGTGTTATCGGAGATAGTATTATAGTTGTTGTTTTTTTGTTGATGTTCAATTAGTTGAAAAAAATTATTTTCATTTAATTAAAGTTTTAATAATTTATCGTTATTTTTGGTTATTTGCTTTTTTAAATATGTCTGTGGTTTTTATTTCTATTTTTAGTTATTTTAGTATATCAAGTTCAATTAAATGAAAATGAGAAATGCTGCATTGGAAACTATAGCTGAAATAAAAATTAATGTACAGTTTTTTATATATATATTTTTATTTTACCTCAGTTAGCTTTTATTTGATTTTTTTTTAGTTAACTATAATAATCATATATATATATATATATATATATATATATATATATATATATATATACATATACTTATACTTATTGTAGTCCCCAGACTTTAATGATATTTCAGATTTGGAGTGTCAAACAGGTGAAAATTCAGACCATTTGGTGACCTTCCGTGTACGTGTCCCTGCGAGTGAGTGCACTTATGTGGAGATGCTCGTGTGCGCCTCAGATCAAAATCTTGAAGATTCAAGAGGGCCCCACTCGAGTGGAACATTTGCATAAATATGATTTGTGATGTTCACTCAAGTATGCTTAATACTCCTAGAGATTATGCTCTTTGAGGTTATAAGAGCGGCTCCCTTTCTTTCGCTTTTGTACCTCGGTTACGCCGCACCTCAAGCCCTTTGATCACTTCATCTGCAAATTTCATAAAGTTCAATACGATTCAAGATGCCTGTGCCACCGCTGTGGTTGAGTGAAGTTATCTCTCCTGAATCTGATAAAGTCATCACTACAGTAGAGGCTCCCCTTTATTTAACCTAATCATGAGTAGCAGCCGGCTTTGTTTGTGCTGTGTTAAGACCTTGTTTTCCATTGATAAGCAATCACAATAACCAGATATTCCAAATACATATTCAAATTGTCACTGCCAGTCATGCAGTCATTATCTTCTGCTTTGTTAATTAAAGGAGCTCCTCCCAGCCTCACACAGCTTCAATTAGATGCTTTGTTGTGCAGACAATTTTGTCATTATTATGGAAGGTCTCCGTCACCGGTTGTCTATCTCCAGCGTGAGACAATGAGTACACTCCAACCCCAGAGGACTCCCTGTGAATGTTAATGGGAGGAATTTTTGGATTTATTTGTCGCTTGAACTAAGTAAGGAGGCACTAGGGAGGACTGCTTTGTTTTCTTTGACAGTCAAAACATGGCGTGGATATATTTCCATCATTCTCAAAGTGTCTGTTAACCGTCACTGACATAAAGATTATGTTTGACTGATGTTTGACTGTGTCTCCGTCTCGTTGTCTCTCTCTCTCTCTAGCTCATTCTCTCTACCGTTCCCTCTGTTTTCATGCAATGAACAATAATGTAATTGTTTCTTTTTGAGCTCTAGAGATAAGGATGAATTCATTTTAAAATGTAATTCAAAGCACTCTGTCTAAACCTATTTATATATTTTCTCTAAATAATATCTCTAAGTATTCTGTATGAAGACATGAAAATATGTCATTGTTATTATGCATTATTTTCATTGATCATGTAAGTTTTCCTGCATTGAAAGCGCAAATATATGTTTTCTTTTGATCTACTGAACATTGTCGCTGCGAATCCTGCTAATTTTAATGTGTAACATTACCATGGTAACATTATCTAGCTAGCGAACATTGATGTGTTGTAAAAATTATGAACATGACAGTTTTGGGCGTATGTTTTGAAGAGTTGAAAATTATAAATAGATTACATAGGCCACGCTTTTCCAGTAGACATGAATTTACAAGTTATGACATGTTTATGAATTTATGAGTTACATTATAGCTAGCTTAACTAATTATTGGTTGTAGCTTGTTTTTCTGTCCTAAAACGTAACATTTATTAAAAAATATATTAATATGTATCTTTATGTTATATGTTACAGTATATAATGCTCTAAAGTCTAATGCTACCAAAGCAGCATTTATTTGAATAAATGCACGAAAACAGTAATTATGTGAAATATATATTTTTAAATATAATGAATTTTCAGCATCGTTACTCCAGTCTTCAGTTTCACATGATCCTTCAGAAATCATTCTAATATGCTGATTCGGTGCTTATTGTCAGCCATGAAAACTGATTAATGTCCGTTGTGGAAACCGTGACGAACAGAAAGTTCAAATGAACAGCATTTATTTTCTGACTTCAAACTTTTGAACAGTAGTGTAAAAAGAATAGAAAAAAAATAGAACAGAATAAAAATGGCTGAAACATTGCTATAATTATTCTTTTTCTGCATTTTGTCTGTCACAGTTCAAAAAACAGTCTGTCAAATGTCACTGTAACTTGTTACAAGAACATAATTATTCAAAATTCATATCATTAAAAGAAACTATTCAAAAGACTACGGTTAAATTGGCGCATGAACATCTTTTCACACTATTAACAACTTCCTGTTAATAACAGCTTGTAAATAAAATAGTACAATATGTGACCACGAGGAACATGCTTGACTTTATTGTTAGAAATTCTGTAAAGGGAGTCTTCTGAATTTATAAGCTTTGAATAATCATAAGGTATTAAAGGGGATAGTTCACATTTTTGGGTGAACTATCCCTTTAATACCTTCCGATAACTCAAATCTTATGAATTCTGTCATCATTTACTCACCCTCAAGTTGTTCCAAACCTATATGAATTTCTTTCTTCCGCTGAACTCGAAAGAAGATATTTTAAAGAATATGGGAAACCAAACAGTTGATAGACCCTAGTGACTTCCATATGGAAAAAAATACTATGGAAGTCAATGGGCCCCATCAACTGTTTGGTTACCGACATTCTTCAAAATATCTTTGTGTTCAGTAGAAGAATGAAATTCATACAGGTTTGGAACAACCTGAGGATGAGTAAATGATGATCGAATTTTCATTTTTTCCGTAAACTATCCCTTTAAGAACTCACGTTTGAACTTCGAACTTAATTACATTTCTGTATATGCGATTATATGTAAACTTCAAAGAACCACTTTTATAATTTCTCGCCTCTTCAGGTCACTAAGATGCTGGCAGTGGTGGTTGTGCTCTTCGCCCTGCTGTGGATGCCGTACAGGACCCTGGTTCTCATTAACTCCTTTGTGAGCGCACCATACCTGGACGCCTGGTTCCTGCTCTTCTGCAGGACCTGCATCTACGCCAACAGTGCGATCAACCCTGTCGTTTACAACCTGATGTCGCAGAAGTTTCGATTGGCCTTCCGCGGGCTGTACCGCTGCCGTAGGGAAGACGTGCACCAGCGGACACTCTCCATGCTCCAGAGCGGATACAGCCTAGGAAGAGACCCTCGACTCTGCAGCAACACCAACGGCACCAGAGACACACCTAAAAAAATCAGTTCAGTCACTCCTGAGCAGAAACAACACAAAGGCATGGAGAACAAGAAAAATATGGACAAGCTAATTAGCGATGGTGTAAGAAATGAGATTGATCCAAGCATCAACAAAAATGCAGTTAAAAACTGCAACATAGATGAATTGAAAGCCTCAGTAGTCAAGGAGATGCCTACAGTGGAGAACGTGGACATGAGCAAGATTAATGATAATGGGAAAATAATGGAGGGAAGCGCTAATACTACTCAGGATATTATCGCTGACATGAGCAACACAGAGCAGACACAGCTAGCCTGGGGTGAAGTCCAATCCACTCCGGGGGAAGCTGAACAGAATGACACTGAGCTAAATCACAGCATTGTATAGATCAATCCACTATATATATATAAACAGTTGTTGTTCATTGAGCCTGGTTGTTCATTTCAAAACAAGATCTTGAATTTGGGATCTTTTTTGTATGTACTAACAGGCATCATCCTCTCTCTTCAGTGGAGGTGGCAAGACTGTAGCCACTCTTTCCTCATAATTTACAAGTGAAACCATTTGGCTGTCAGCACCAGCTTCACATGCCTCCTAGTGATATAGCTCCAACTAGGGTTACTTGATAAAAAAAATCATTTTGTGATTATTTTGACAAAACATTGAACTATTATTTTGATCTCACATTGCTGCTGCTTAGAAATGTAGATATATCATTAAAAAAAGGCTGGAATCTGCTACATGGCTTTTAAAATCTGCACAGATTTTATGCATTTACCATTTACCAACTTTGTAAATGGTTACAGTGGAAAACCTGACCATCATACACTACACAACTGAGGATCACACACTACCAGACTTTCAAGTTGTACCGAACACAGAAAAGTCCTGCAGAAACATGCGCCTCATTGCTAGGAGACACATGACGGATGAAAACAATATGTGCTCTATCTTCTGATAGACTGGATAGAATCATAATCTAAAGCAAAAAAAAAGAAGAAAAAAAAGAAAATGAAATCAAGAGTCTGAGCCTTTCATATACTAAGTGATTCTATGTGAAATCTGGGAAATCAAACTGCCCAAAATCTCCATCCTGGCTATGATTTTCAGCAAGCTTTAACTCTTCCAGACTGCAAATCTGGGCAAAAGTTGTGTAGTGTATTCCAGCCTTGAACTGTTGCTCCTAGACAGCAATGAGGTTACAGTGAAAGCAAGTTTTGATTAAAGAGATAGTCTCAAAAAATTTAATTATTTATTACCCTCATGTTGTTCCAAACCTGTATGACTTCCTCACTTCTGCGGAACACAAAAAAAGACATTTTGAAGGTTTTTTTTATTCAGTTATAGTCCATACAATGAAAGCCAATGGGGTCCAAAACAACAAATTTCATAGTATAGCCTAAAAAAGACCATAAAAGAAAATTCTGCTGCAAATATAAATAATTACTCTTTAAAGTCAGTATGAAATGCATCTTATTGTGATTGATTCCTACATGTACTGTATGTTTATTTTTTTTGTGAAACTGACTATCAAAATATCACAACTCAATCCTCCGATGAAATGACAGACTTCTCTTTTCTTCCAATCGACTGTAAGATTGCGTTCAGATCTCCCTTCGTCCAATCAACAACCAACATTTTTCCATTTTCGGTAATCTGTTTCACTTGGATGTACGTCACAATGCGGAAGAAATGAAATGTCACTACTTCTGTTGCAACTTTAAGGATGTTCACACTTGAGTCATCTTTAAAAGAACCAAATTTTTTCAGTTGACCCAAAAGTGAACCGAGTGAAAAAAGACTGCACACAAAACATTTAGGCTCCTTCACTTTGACACTACAAACTACATATTTAATTAAATCACAGGATTTTAATAATCACACACAAGGCCATGTCGCAATTTGGACTTGAACTGAATTAGTTGTGCAGCCTTAGCTCCAGGACGTGTCCTCTCTCAACACAAAACTTTTTTGCCCACTTTGTGTCTTCAAGCACAGCAGAATGAGAAACAAACAAACTCCATCCTGCTTTTAAAGCACAGACGCTTTCCCATAAAAACATTCAGGATGCTACGGGGCATAAGATCCATTTAAAATGCTTTCGTCCAACAATAAGGCCCAAAGCATCATGACACATTTGTGTTTTCCCACAGCCAACACAAGACATTTGCCATCGCTGGATGAATTCCATAGTTCGTGGAGATGTAATGCCTCGCCATTTGTTCCTGCCCAAGTAAACAGATCCGATTCTGTGTGCCCAGCGGTACGTCTGAGCTTTTTAGACCCCTTTTACAACCTCGTGGAAGATGAGCAGAGTCACGCATCCATTTGTCAGGTGCAGTTATTCATCTTTATATGTGGAGCGCAAGGAACAGCTTTCACACAGAACAGAGACGATGTTTTCTGTTGAAGCAAGCAGACAGTTGTAACCATAACTCATCTATAAACAGAACATATCCTTCCTGGAGGAGAGCCGTGGAGCTGGAGAGTATTCTCAAAGCACTTTGTTGTTTAGCAAGTGCTATTTTACGCCTCATATTTATGCAGAGACATTTAATACTCAAAATTGGTGTGATTATCTGTTATAATTTATCATTTTCTGACTGTGTCATGACTTTGTAAGTCATTTTTAGTTGAAATGTGAACCCTATGTTGCTATTTTAGTGAAGTGTTTTGTTGTTGCTCTGGAGAAGAATGCATCTCCTCACTGAAGCACCGTTTTCAGAATCATTTGAAATGAATATGAGCCGTGCAGACTGCAGTTTAATTTCTGATATATTCTGCGTATGTTTTTGGGTTTGCAATTCTTGCAATTGATTCTGTACTTCAAGCTTTTCACGTCCTCGGATTCGGACTGATATATTTCTCTTGCACTATTAAAGGGATAGTTCTGTCATAATTCTGTTAGTAATTACTCTCATGTCGTTCCAAACTTTCTTTCATCTTCGGAACACAAATGAAGATCTTTTTGATGAAATCTGAGAGCTTTCTGTCCCTCCATTGACAGCTATGCAACTACCACTTTGAGTCTTCAAAAAGTCCATAAAGAGATCGTAGAACTAATCCATATGAATTGAGCGGTTTTAATCCAAATTTTCTGAAGAGAAAATCGCGATCGCTTTATATGATGAACATGAATTTAGAAACTTTATACTCATATAAAGTGATGATAAACAGAAGCTCAAGCATGTTCGCTTGATGCTCGAGAACCAATGAGGTTCATTCTCGTGTTACGCAGCCATTTGAATTTCTGCAAGAACCAATGAGGTTTGTTCTCGCGCGTCAAGCAGGTTCGATTGAGCTTCTGTTTATGTTCACTGATCAATGTTTATATGTAAATAAAGCCTAAATTCAATCTGTTCATCATATAAAGCGATCAAGTCTCTTTAGAAAGTTTGGACTAAACCGCTCAATTCATGTGGATTAGTTTGACGATCTCTTAGTGAACTTTTGGAAGCATTAAAGTGGTAGTTGCGTAGTTGTCAATGGAGGACATGCAGAAAGCTCTCAGATTTCATCAAAAAGATCTTCATTTGTGTTCCGAAGATGAACAAAAGTTTGGTTACTGGTTTGGAACGACATGAGGGAGAGTAATTAATGACAGATTTTTCATTTTGGGGTGAACTAACCCTTTAACTTCAAAATAAATCTGCAGTGGTCACGTGGTACAAGTCATATCTCTCCGAAAATTAAGAGTCTTGTAATTACGAGTTCTGCAATCACGTGACTGCTTTTTACAAGTCAGAATAGCAATTAATTACATACAATACTAATAAGTAGTAATTATGACATGGTGTGAACACATCTCGCTTCATTTAGTGTTGCCTAAGAAGTCATTTCCTTTTTATGAGCCTAGAAAGCTTATTATTAGCTCCTATTTATAAATAATCTATTTTGAAACCCATGGTTGATATTGTGTTAGTATTGCGATGTGAAGCTTCTATTTGCTTTTGAACCCGTTCTGTGTTTGCTCAGACTGTGGTTGCGAGTTAAAATCAGAGTAATGTGCAAGTGATCTGTGAGCATGTTCAGTTTTCTGCTTATTTTTAAAAACGGATAAAAACATACAAATGAAATCGTACTCCTTTCTGGTTTCATTTGGGATCCTATGTGAAAATTAAAGCTGGATACAAGTGCAGAATTTTAATGAGTTGTTGATTTATTCGTGTTGAAGCTGCCACATGTCCTGAAGGGGGGGGAAAATTACTGGTTGCAGAAAGTAATGATAATTTCACATTGCATGAGATCTTGAGCAGTCAATAGCAGGACTGCACTCTGAAGTAAATGAGCCTATAACATTAGCTCATAGGTGTAAAAAATGTACATATGGGTCAATGACAAATAAGGATGATAAAAATTAGAAATATGTTAACCATCTTCAAAAAAAAGTTGTTCGAAATTTAATCTTTGTAATCATACATTTTTCATACATTAAAAAACATTTACTGAATTTTTGTTTACGTTATGATTCTTGAAAATATCTAAATGTTTATTTTAATAAAATGGTTAAAAAAATAAGAAAGAAAAGCATAATGACCTTGACAATCAGGAGAGTCTAATTTTATGTTTTTCTTGTCACATGACCACAAAATAACACTCTACTACAATCTGACTGATTTAGAGGAATAAGATTTTCACTGTCAAAAAGTGATCAGTTGGTTTAACTTAAAAAAAGTGAAGAGACCCGTTGCCTTAAAATGATTAAGTAAATAAACTTAATGCGTAATTAAAAAAAATAAGTTATGTGGAATTGTCAAGTTCACATGCAAAATGCATGCAATTTATTTACGGGTTTCCTCAGACTGATCACATTTTACAGTGTTTAGATATCAATGACGTTTCAAACAACCAAACTTTCCTGTTTTTAAGAATTTTCAATGTCAGGCTGCTTGCGTCATCAAGACGTTTTTGAAATTGAAGTTGAGAAGGATATTCAAACATGTTGTACATCATTCAAGAGGTGCATTTTTATTAGAATTTAATAAAATAACAGGACTGACTGACCCATGTAGAACCAGAGACATTTTTTTTCTTTTATAAAACATTTGTATAGTTTTCTGTCAGTGGACTTTAAGTGTGGTGTTTATCCTTGCGGGACATGAGCTATTGGCTGTGTAGTTTCCTCTTAAAGGTCAGCACACATAGCCACACTCAAACACAAATACTCTCAGAATGTGTCACACTCTCCCTTGTCCAATCGATATGCAAAAGAGGCATATTCTAACATTTCTAGAAGGTAAAAATAGCGACCTTATGATAATGTTTGGCTCAACGTGGAAAGCATTGCAGGTAGCTTGGCAGCTGGTTGCTAAGGTTACATTCTTTTTCACTTCACTTTTCCCTGATTAGATTGGAGGATTGTAGCCGGGGAAGATAAGACGCTCCTGAGAATGGATTTCCGGCCAGGTGCAGTGGTGCCAATCCTAGTGTTGATAAGCCATCTTTTCAAAACTGAGGTGTCATTCAACAAGATGAGGCTGCCGACAGAGTCGTGTTCGTCAGCGGCCCTCGCTTTTCTACCATGTGCCCT